ATCTCCCTTCAACTGTGGTGCCCAGAATTGGACACAATATTCCAGGTGTGGTCTGACCAAGGCAGAATAGAGCATGGGTAGCACAACTTCCCTGGATCTAGACACTATACTCATACCTAGTATTTGTTTGAGTCTCTCCATTCAGGTGCTTCATTGCAAATGCAGGTTTTCATCAACTACAATTTGAAAAACCTGTTAGTAAGAGCAGTTTATTTTCTATGATTCTGCATCAACATAGTATAATATAAGGCATGTGTATGTGTATTCAAGTCACCTATCAGCTTATGACACCCTCATGAATTTTTCATAGGATTTTCCAGGGCAAGGAATGCTCAGAGTGGTTTTGCCAGTTCCTTCCTCTGAAATCTCACTATAGAATCTGGTATTCATTGGCAATCTCTTATCCAAGTACAAATCAGGGCTAATCCTGCTTGGCTTCAAAGATCAGTTGAGTTCTGATGCCTCCAGAACAAATTTATTTTCTGATGGAGTTCAGTTCTCTTTCCTTCCCATGATTTGATGTCAAAAGTTTCCCGATTATTCAGTTTTAGCTCCTTTTCAGTACATTATTTCCTTGATAGTCATCTCCCCCTGTTATCCCTGCATCTTTTCCTTGGACTGCATCGCTCCGTTACTCAAGATACAAAATTCTTTAAACAAATACAAGTTATAGTCAAACTCTCAAACCCACACCATGCTGGCTCTCAAGACACAATGTAAGATGCTGCAATAATTAATTGGGTCAATAGTAGCTGTTGCTGTGTGACTTCAAGTCATTTTGTCAGGAAGTAGCAGCCAGTAATGAAAAGACCAAGGCTTTGACATCTCCGGTCCATCCTTCGTTTGGATATCAGCCAGCACGACCATGGCTTAAATCAAGAAATAGCTTCTTATGTACTACAGAGATAGTCGCAGGAAAATCTCAGCAATCAAGAGTCCAAAAGTAGCAGGCTAAAACCCAGGACCTCAATCAGTGGCTGAGATAAGAAACTTCCTCCTGGGCACACAGAAGGCTGGGCAACTTGGAAGGCATTGAAGAGCCAATCTTAAGAAATGGGGCTACAAAGAGGAGTCTACAACATGCGAGTGTGGAGAAGAACAAACCACAGACCACCTGCTACAACGCAGCCTGAGCCCTGCCACATGCACAATGGAGGACCTTCTCACAGTGACACCAGAGGCACTCCAAGTGCCTAGCTTCTGGTCAAAAGACATTTAGCCTAATGCCAAGTTTTGAACTATATTCGCAATTCGCTTCTGACAAGATATAAAAAAAAAATCCAATTTATGCTGATCCTAAACTGAACCAATCATGGGGTTTTCTTTGCAAGATCTGTTCAAAGGGAGGTTGCCTTTACCTCCCTCTGAGGCACAGAGAAGTCCACTTGCTTGGTCACCCAGTGCATTTCCATGGCCAGGCTCAAACCACTCTGCTACACTGGCTCTCAACAGTGGCTATGGTGTATAATTTTACATTATAAACAATCAGCGCATGATCATTATGTAGTAATAGCAGTTTTGCAAAAGCCTTTATTAGGGAAAACAATTACATCATAACCTAAATTAGGTCAGAAATATTATTATTCTATTTATTTGCATCTTGCTTTTCCACAAAAAGAGTGGGATTCCAAGTGGCTCACAGTTAAAAGAACAACAAAAGTAAAAACATAAAAAGTAAGCATTAAAATAGAATTATGCTATTTGCAGTATTAAAACAATTTTAAAAGATAAGGAAGCTATTGAAACAGTTTAGATAAAACAGTACAAAACACTTTCTGTTTTGAAAGCCTGCAAAATAAAAACGCTTTAGTGATCAAAAGACAGCTGGGGTTGGAACTAGTTGGATTTACACTGCCATATAATGCAATTTCAAATATAGCAGTGTAGCTCCAACCTCTACAAGCCTCCTATACTAGGTATTTGTTATGTAAATACTTTTATTATTGTTACTTTTATTAATTTCTTCATACAGATAACAAAACAATACAATACGAACCTTAGCCACCTAAAAGATAATATCAAAAACTACAATTTACAATTTCTACAATTTTAATGGCTAGGATACAGGTTCCAATTGTGTTTCCCTTTGTTGTATATCTCGATTATTTACCCCTTTAAACCCCACCTCCCACCCACCCCTATCTGGGTTTACTTAAGTCAGTACATTGATTTAATTGTCTTCCAGACATTTATGTACACACTTGTGATTACATACTATATTGTATGTATATGATTTAGTATGCAGTTTTCCCTTAACTCTATGCTGTTTGAGGTTGTGGGAGGGACTGCAGACCATGTGACCCGATCTGGGACGATTCAGACTGAGACTCCATTTTAGAAGTCAGTCAGTACAGTTTAGAAGTCAGTCAACTGTCAGTATTAGTGTAAAGTCAGTGTCAGTACGCTGCAGTGTACAGTCAGTATTTATTGAGTGTTCAGTAATGTATTAGACTGAAGAAAGTATTAGTCTGTATATAACAAGAAGAGACTAAAACAGAATGCTTTAGAGAACAGATTGTTTAAACTATCAACCAATAGGAAATGTACCTGTATGCTGAATACATTAAATCTGTAAGTACTTTTAATGAAGACAACCTATTTTTGGTCTCTTGAGAGCATGATTTAAATGCAAAATATTTTATGAGAAAGTAGATGTTTTTTGGGCAACTGAAATAACACTTCTGAATATCTGCTATATATTTTGTGCATTGGCATATCTTTGTTGCTAACAGTTCAGAGAGATAACAAGGTATATCAGTCTAACAACTGAGAAACCTAATTTTCCTTGCACGAATACTGGTGGATATTTATCACTAAGGAGAAGATTCAATCAAATGAGTATTTAACTCTTCCCAGGAAGATCATACTTTACAAAAAGGTTGTGATTATTCCAAATAGTGTGAATGCCAATTAATCTCCAAAAGGGTCATGCTTCCAAAAGGCTATGGAGATTCCTGGTTTTCCAAAAGGTTCAACCTGCCTAGGAAGGATATTCCAAAGTTTCAGGGAAGCTGTTGAGAAGGCTCTTTCTGCTTTTCCCAACAATTATGAGAGAAGAAATATACTTCAAGAATCTTTGATCTCACGTTTAGTTTAATATTCATTACAGAAATCTAGATTTACAGAACTCTATAAGCCTAATGTTTAAGGAAACATTAACACAGAAGTTTCAGATAAGATTATATTGTAAGGAAAATAACACACGTGTAAATGAACATTAAGTATCTTGTCATCCTATTAATAAGTTTGATTCAGTGATAATAATAATACTGTATATACTCGAGTATAAGCCTAGTTTTTCAGCCCCTTTTTTAGGATGAAAAAGCCCCCCTCGGCTTATACTTGAGTCAAGGTTATTTATTATTTTACTTTGTTATGAGTATTATTTTAATTACACTTATTATCTTACTCTATTATTACATTTATTATTTTTCTCTATTTGTTATTGTTATTATTACATTTATTATTTTACTCTATGTATTATTATTGGTATTATTGCATTTACATTACCTTACTCTATTATTTTATTACATTATGATCTGGTCATGGACCATAATAAAGTTTACTTACTGTTATTTTACTCTATTTATTATTGTTATTATTACATTTCCATTATTTTACTCTATTATTACATGTCCATTATATTATTCTGTTATTATTATTTTGTATTACATTTATTATTTTACTCTACTGTTATTGGAAGGATGTGTAAGCACATTTAGATTGAAGAATGCTAGAATAATGGTTTAATCAGAGTTGGACAGTCTTATCTTAAATTACAGTTTTATGTAAATATTCAAAAACATTTAACCTGCTGATGCCTCAATTAATATAATTTCATTGGTATCTATTTTGTTTTACCAGTAGCTGCTGTATTTCTCACCCTCAGCTTATACTCGAGTCAATACGTTTTCCCAGGTTTTTTGTGGTAAAATTAGGTGCCTTGGCTTGGACGCGGAACAATGGCTTCAAACTACAAGAGAGGAGATTCCATCTGAACATGAGGAAGAACTTCCTGACTGTGAGAGCTGTTCAGCAGTGGAACTCTCTGCCGCGGAGTGTGGTGGAGGCTCCTTCTTTGGAAGCTTTTAAACAGAGGCTGGATGGCCATCTGTCAGGGGTGATTTGAATGCAATATTCCTGCTTCTTGGCAGAATGGGGTTGGACTGGATGGCCCATGAGGTCTCTTCCAACTCTTTGATTCTATGATTCTATATTTGGGTCGGCTTATACTCAAGTATATACGGTAATTGTATTTCTTACCCGCCTCTCCTCGCGGCAGGTTACAACATGGTTAAAACACATAATCATTGTAAACATTCTAAAAAATACACATATTAAAGGCATTTCTATAAAATACACATAAAAAGGTAAAGGTAAAGGTAGTCCCCTGACATTAAGTCCAGTCATGTCTGACTCTGGGGTGTGGTGCTCATCTCCATTTCTAAGCCGAAGAGCCAGCTTTGTCCGTAGACACCTCCAAGGTCATGTGGCCGGCATGACTGCATGGAGCGCCGTTACCTTGCCGCCGGAGCGGTACCTATTAATCTACTCACATTTGCATGTTTTCGAACTGCTAGGTTGGCAGAAGCTAGGGCTGACAGCGGAAGCTCACGCCGCTCCCCGGAATCGAACCTGCGATCAACAAGCTCAGCAGCATAGTGCTTTAACCCACTGCGCCACCGGGGGCTCCATACACATATTAAAATACACATATTAAAACATATTTCTATACATATTAAAGTACACAGAACAAATATTAAAACACAACTGACTGGATAGTGCTTGCTAGATTCTGATTTTATGAATGACATAATGAAGATGAATCAGAGACATAAAACCAAAGCAAACCCAAAGTACCCGAAGACTTTTACATAAGTAATCTATGTCATTTAATTAATGTAATTGTTTTGAGTTTGCTGTTTTGCTATCACCGCAAGACGAACTCGGGTATTTTTCCTCCCTCAATTCATTCAAAAGGCAAAAACTTCCTTCCATACCTGTATTAAACACTTGCTGACATCGCTAGCACACAGCGCCTTGTTGCACCCCATTGACGACGGGACCCAGACAAAGAACAGCAGCCCAATTACAACTGGCACTCCAAAGTACAACAACTTCATTTTTCTTGCAGGTGGGAGATCTCTGGAATTGTCAGGCAGCGCTGAAATGAAAAGCAGCACAAAGAGCCTACGTTCATTGAGGCAGAAGCTTAAATCTTTTTCATCTTTGCCACATAATTCTTCTAAAGCAGCTCTTGCTTTATTTTTGTTTCTGTGGGTTTTTGATGCTCAACCCAAGAGCGCATGTGGCATAAACAGAAGCTCTTATATAATCACAGGTCAACCAGACACTTTCTGTAAGACTTCACATTCTTGTAACACTTGGTATTTCCAATTCTGATCCAGACAACAAATAGCAGCCATTGAGATACATGCATTATGACTAAATAAGATCCTTTATGACTAAATAAGCTCTTTTACAGAATCACAGCAAAGAGTAACAGCGAAGCAATGATGCACAAAGAAATGAGAACATGTTTTAACATATAACATCAGAGTGTTTCAGCACCAGCTGTATTAATTTACAAACAAGGCTTTTAAATCGGATGGCGCCACAGGGAACTGGATAAATGCCCAATCTTGATGAACAGAACTTCTTGAGTGATACTGTATTAGCACAGCATGTGCATTTGTGAATGGTGAAACTCGACAATGTCCGACACATATTCACTTATACTAATACCGTATATACTTGAGTATAAGCCGAGTTTTTCAGCCCCTTTTTAGGCTGAAAAAGCCCCCCTCGGCATATACTCGAGTCAAAGTTATTTATCATTTTGTATATGGATATGTAGTAGTAGTAGAAGTAGTAGTAATAATGATAATAATAATAAATAGAGTAAAATAATACATGTAATAATATTTATCATTTTACTATTATTATTTTAATTACATTTATTATTTTACTCTATTTATTATTATTATCAAATGTACTAAAATAATAATAGAGTAAAATACTAAATGTAATAATAATAAATAATAAATGTAACAACAATAGAGTAAAATAATGTATACATAATAATAAATAGAGTAAAATAATAAATGTAATAAAAATAATAAATAAAAATGTAATAATAATAATAAATAGAGTAAAATAATACATGTAATAATATTTATCATTTTACTATTATTATTTTAATTACATTTATTATTTTACTCTATTTATTATTATTATTGATACATCATTTTACTCTATTATTTTTATTACATTTATTATTTTACTCGTTTATTATTACTATTACATTTTTATTTATTATTTTTATTACATTTATTATTTTACTCTATTATTATGTATACATTATTTTACTCTATTGTTGTTACATTTATTATTTATTATTATTACATTTATTATTTTGCTCTATTATTATTGTTAGGATTATGGTACATTTACATTATTTTTATTATTATTTTATTACATTTATTATTTTACTCTCATTATTGGAAGGGTACGTAAGCTCATTTACATTGAAGAAGGTTAGAATAATGGTTTAATCAGAGTTGAACAGTCTTATCTTAAATTTCAGTTTTTGAAAATATTCAAAAACATTTAACCAGCTGATGCCTCAATTAATGTAATTGTATTGGTATCTATTTTTAAGTTTACCAGTAATATCTGCATTTCCCATCCTAGGCTTATACTTCGAGTCAATACTTTTCCCCAGTTTTTTGTGGTAAAATTAGGTGCCTTGGCTTATATTCGGGCTGGCTAATGCTTGAGTATATATGAGTACTTATTCTCAAACCCAACTATCAGCCTCCTAAACCCATACTATCTAGTTGGACAACCCCAAAACAACAAGAGCATCAAGAAATGGGTATCGCAAACCTTCTTCCTTAAACAAACCGTTTTATATGACTGGACATGTTACATTTTGGACAGCAACCTCTGGCATTCCCCAGTATCATGGCTAATGGCCATACCGGCTGCTTGATTCTAGAAGCTGTAGATCAGGAAAACCATGCTGCTGGTCTATTCACCATATGAGAACCTAGTGTTTAAATACTCATTAAGTACATCTTTACTGAACTACAAGCCAGTGGTTTAACAGTGCCTTCGGGACACTTTACAGCAGTATTATTGCAAGGCAGGATACAACATATTATGCCATTCTCTGTCAAGCATTTCCTCTTTTCTGCATTTGAGAATACTTAGCCATTACACACTTACGTGACTAAGTTGAATTTTTTGACAAATCCACCTATAGATTTTCCCTTTAATATATTACTGCTGTGCAGATAGGCTGAGTGATCTCCATACAAATCAAAGCTGTGAAGTACAGACAAATCCTATGGGACTTGTTTACATTCATCATCCATTCAAATCATTACAAAATTTATTCTCTTCAAACTTGTCCCAAAGTTGTGAATCCTATCTTCGTAAGCCTATAGTGTAAACAATTAATATATTTAATGTATTTACCTATTTAATGGATTCAAAAATAATTACTTATAAATCTATGATTTACTAGCCGTCCCCTGCCATGCATTGCTGGTGGCCGAGTCTGTGTATATCTGTTATATGTGTGTATATATTTGTGTATATGTGTGTTTGCGCATATATATGTGGTTTTGTGTATGTTGTAAGGTAAATGTTGTTTTTTGGCTTTTTAAGTCTCTTCTGCTGTGTTTTTCGGTGTTTTTATGAGTGATGGTCACTTCTTGGCCTGATTGGTGTCTTGTGTCCAAATTTGGTGTCAATTCGTCTTGTGGTTTTTGAGTTATGTTAATCCTACAAACGAACATTACATTTTTATTTATATAGACTAGCCATCCCCTGCTACGCAGTGTGTGTATATGAGTTTTGTGTGTGTATATGTGTGTGTGTATATATTTGTATATATATTTGTGTATATGGGTTTTGTGTGTGTATATGTGTGTGTATATATTTGTGTATATGTGTTTGCACGATATATATGCGTTGGGGAAAGTAGAAGGTAAAAGGAAGAAGGGCCGACCAAGTGCAAGATGGATGGATGGCATCCTTGAAGTGACTGGACTGACCTTGAAGGAGCTGGGGGTGGTGACAGCCGACAGGGAGCTCTGGCGTGGGCTGGTCCATGAGGTCACGAAGAGTTGGAGACAACTGAACGAATGAACAATATATCTTGAGGGGGATATATATGGTTTTGCACATGTGCTGTAATGTAATTTTGGATTTTTGGCTTTTTAAGTCCCTTCTGCTGTGTTTTTCAGTGTTTTTATGAGTGATGTTCACTTGTTGGCCTGATAGGTGTATTGTGTCCAAATTTGGTGTCAATTCGTTCAGTGGTTTTTGAGTTATGTTCATCCCACAAACGAACATTACATTTTTATTTATATAGATTTTACATAGAGAAGCAAGCTTGCAAAGAACACTCAGAGCTGTTTTAAAGTTCAGATCCTCTGAAGATGCCAGCCACGGATTCAGGCGAAACGTCAGGAGAAAATGCTGCTATAACATGGCCATACAGCTCGGAAACCCACTGTTATGATGTGATTGCTACGATTCTTGTTTCCAACTCAAACATGAGGCACTCATAGCCAAAAGTAGCGAAATGTCCACCATAAATTTCAAGAAACTTATATGAGTTTGTCAATAACTATGCTGTACATTTGGAAGGGAAGTTTTCTAAGGTGCTGAAGTGTTTTCCTTACAGGAAAACACATACACAGAAAACACAGATGTATTTGCTTTCCACGGAAAGCGAATGCCTCTGCCAAAAGGCAGAGGACTCAGCCAAGAGAGACCAAAGCAGATCCTCACTTTTGGCACGCTGTATGAAAGCGGATTTGGCACCCGGGGAGACGGAAAGGGGTCAGACTAAGAACACAAGAGTTGAGATATCTATATCTACAGTATATCTTCTATATAAATAAAAATGTAATGTTCGTTTGTGGAATTAACAGAACTCAAAAACCACTGGACGAATTGACACCAAATTTGGACACAATACACCTAACAACCCAATCTATGTCCGTCACTCAAAAAAATTGATTTTGTCATTTGGGAGTTGTAGTTGCTGGGATTTATAGTTCACCTACAATCAAAGAGCATTCTGAATCCCACCAACGATGGAATTGAACCAAACTTGGCACACAGTTCTCCAATGACCAACAGAAAATACTGGAAGGGTTTGGTGGGCAGTGCCCTTTGGTTTTGGAGTTGTAGTTCACCTACATCCAGAGATCACTGAGGACTCAAACAATGATGGATCTGGACCAAACTCTACACTAATACCTAATATGCCCAAATGTGAACACTGGTAGAGTTTGGGGAAAATAGAATCTTGATATTTGGGAGTTGTAGTTGCCGGGATTTATAGTTCACCTACAGTCAAAGAGCATCCTGAACCCCACCAACGATGGAATTGGGCCAAACATCCCACACAGAACCCCAATGACCACCAGAGTGGGCCGCAGCAAGGCGTGACAGGGGACAGCTAGTCTATATACATAAAAATGTCATGTTAGTTTGTGGGATTAACAGAACTCAATAACCACTGGGTGAATTGACACGAAATTTGGACACAAGACACTGATCAAGCCAACAAGTGACTATCACCATAAAAACACAGAAAAAATACAGCAGAAGAGACTTAAAAAGCCAAAAACCAAAAAAATACATTACAAAGCAGGTGCAAAACCACATATATACACAAACACATATAATACAGAAATATATACACATATATGCACACACAAAACACATACACAGAAAGGGGAAAGGAGAGAAGGAGGGTGAGAAAGAAGGAGAGAAGGAAAGAAAGAAAGGTAGAGAAGGAAGGAAGGAGAGAACGAAATAAAAAAGTGAAAGAGGGAAGGAAGGAGAGAAGGAACGAAAGAGGGAAGGAAGGAAAGAGACAAGGAAGGATGGAACCAAAGAGCAAAGGAAGTGAGAAAAGAAACAGAGAAGGAAGGAAGGAAGAAGGGAAAGAAAAAGAGGGAGGGAGGGAGGGAGGGAGGGAGGGAGGGAGGGAAGGAAGGAAGGAAGGAAGGAGAGAAAGAAAGAAAGAAAGAAAGAAAGAAAGAAAGAAAGAAAGAAAGAAAGAAAGAAAGAAGACAAAGAGGGAGGGAAGGTTGGCCACAGCAATGCATGGCGGGTGCAGCTGGTATATGTGTGTGTGTGTGTGTGTGTATACACACACGCGTGCGCACCTTCAAAGAACCTGCTGACTTAGGGTAACCCCATAATTTTCATATGATTTTTTAAGGCATGGGATATTCAGAGGCGGTTTTGCCAGTTCTTCCTACAGCACCTGGGTTTTTTTGGGGTGCTCCCATCAAAGTACTAACCAGAGCTCACCCTTCCAAGATCAGACAGGCATGAGCAAACTTTGGCCCTCTGGGTGTTTTGGACTTCAACTCCTGCAATTCCTAACAGCCAATAGGCTGTTAGGAATTGTGGGAGTTAAAGTCCAAAACACCTGGAAGGTCAACGTTTGCTCATACCTAGTAAATTAACTATTCCTTACCTTTATCCATGTAATCTCTGAGGTCCAGACCTATGCTTTACCCAAGTAATGGTGAGGCCCATCACTAAGTAGTCATTATTTTCACCCAAATCACCTCCGAGACCCATAAACCACTCATTAAGTTTACTAACGTGAACTATGTTGCGGCCCATAACAACTTCTCATTAGGCTTGATCTAAATTACCTCTGAGGTCCGTAACTACTTGCTAAGTTTACTCACGCAATCTTGAGGTCCAGAACTTCAATTATTAGTATGTTTATTTGCACCCTGCTTTTCTCTCCAATGCTGAGGCATAAATACATGCGATGTTCATTCAAGTTATCTCTGAGACCAGTAACTACTCCTCAAGTTCACTCAAGCGATTTTAGATGGTCCAGCATTGGGTTTTACCCATTAGTGAGGCCCATAACTACTTGTTGGGTTCACTCAGGTTATCTCTTGAGACCTGTAACTACTCCTGAAGTTCACTGAAATCATTTTTGGAGTCCAGAACTACATTTTACCTAATAACTACTCACTAAGCTTATGCCCCCCCCCCCCAAAGTTATCTCAGAAACCTGTAACTACTAATTCATTATTTGTTACAATTAATTCAAGGAATCTCTAAGATCCAGAACTATATTTGACCCAAGTCATGACGGAGGTCCCCAACTACCTCATTCTCCATGAGGTTTACTCAAGTTAACCATGTTTTCCGCTCAAGTAATGCTCATAACTACTTGTTAAGTTTACTCAAGTAAAGCAGAGGATCATAACTAATTGTTAAGTTTACCCAAGTCATGTTAAGGCTCTTAACTATTTGTTACATTTACTCAAGTCATGCTGAGGCTCATAACTAATTGTTAAGTTTACTCAAGTCATGCACAGGCTCATAACGTCTTGTTACATTTACTCAAGCAACACTGAGGCTCATACCTTCTTGTTAAGTTTACTCTAGTCACACTCAGGTTCATAACTACCTGTTAAATTTACCCAAGTCATGTTGAGGGTCTTAACGTCTTAAGTTTACTCAAGTAACGCTGAGGCACATAACTACTTAAGTTTATTCAAGTAACGCAGAGGATTATAACTAATTGTTAAGTTTACCTAAGACATGTTAAGGCTTATAACAACTTGATAAGTTTACTCAGACAACACTGAGGTTTTTAACTACATGCTAAGTTTACTAAAGTCATATTGAGACTCCTACGTGTGGTTACTCAAGTTATACTCAGGCTCATAACTGCTTGTTACGTTTACTCAAGTCATACTGAAGTTCTTAACTACTTGTTACATTTACTCAAGTCATGCTGAAGCTCATAACTTCTTGTTAAGTTTACTCAAGTCATACCCAGGCTCATAACTACTTGTTACATTTGCTCAAGCAACACTGAGGCTCATAACTGCTTGTTACATTTACTCAAGTCATACTGAAGCTCTTAACTACTTGTTACAATTACTCAAGTCATACTCAAGCTCATAACTTCTTAAGTTTACTCAAGCCGTACTTAGGCTCCTAACTTGTTAACTTTACTCAATTCATACTCAGGCTCATAACTACTTGTTACATTTACTCAAATCACACTCAATCTCATAACTTCTTGTTAACTTTACTCAAGTCATACTCAGCTTCATAACTACTTGTTACGTTTACTCAAGTCATGCTGAAGCTCATAACTTCTTGTTAAGTTTACTCAAGTCATACTCATGCTCATAACTACTTGTTACATTTGCTCAAGTCATGCTGAAGCTCTTAACTACTTTTTACATTTATTCAAGTCATACTCAAACTAATAACTTCTTGTTAAGTTTACTCAAGTCATACTCAGGCTCACAACTACTTGTTACATTTACTCAAGTCATGCTCAGGCTCATAACTACTTGTTACATTTACTCAAGTCATGCTGAAGCTCTTAACTACTTATTACATTTACTCAAGTCATACTCAAGCTCACAACTACTTGTTACATTTACTCAAGTCATGCTGAAGCTCTGAACTACTTATAACATTTACTAAAGTCATATTGAGACTCCTACTTATGGTTACTCAAGTCATACTGAAGCTCTTAACTTCTTGTTAAGCCTACTCAAGTCATACTTAGGCTCATAACTACTTGTTACATTTACTCAAGTCATACTCAAGCTCATAACTTCTTGTTAAGCCTACTCAAGTCATACACAGGCTCATAACTACTTGTTACGTTTACTCAAGTCATGCTGAAGCTAATAACTTGTTAACTTTACTCAAATCATTCTCAGGCTCACAACTACTTGTTACATTTGCTCAAGTCATGCTGAAGCTCATAACTAATTGTTATGTTTACCCAAGTCATGCAGAGGCTGCAAACTACTTGTTAAGTTCACTCAAGTAGTTAAAAATAGTTAAATTTACTTACCCAAGTCATGCAGAGGCTCATAACTTCTTACAAGTTTACTCCAGACATGCAGAGTCTCCTAACTACTTAAGTTCACTCTAGTAATAATACTGAGACTCATAAGTCATAGTTATGTTTACCCAAGCCATGCAGAGGCTCCTAAGTAAGAGTTAGGTCTACTGAGGCTCCTGAACTACTTGTTGAGCTTACCCAAGTGAGGATGCAGAGGCTCCCACCTCCTTGTGAGGCTTGCTCAGGCAGCACTGGAGGAGGAGGAGGAGGAGGAGGAGGAGGAGGCGCAGAGCTCCCTTCCCAGCGCTGCCCAAGGGGGGCGGGGGAGGCCACTACTGTCTCGGGTGGTCTCTCCTGCGCGACCAGGCCCAAAGGCTGGATTCCCCTCCTCCTCAGGCTCCTCGTCCTCGTCGATGGAAGTCTGGAGCGGGGAAGGAGAGGCAGGGAGGGAGGGAAGAGGAGGGAAAGGAGGCGGGAAAGAGAAGTCTCCTCCTTCCTTCTTTGGCTTCAGACTCATTAGCAGTGACTTTGTGGCCTTTCTTATGGTTCCAGCCAGGCCTGGGCCAACTTGGGCCCTTCAGGTGTTTTGGACTACAACTCCCACAATTCCTAACCGCCTCAGGCCCCTTCCAGGGGCCTGAGGCGGTTAGGAATTGTGGGAGTTGTAGTCCAAAACACCTGGAGGGCCCAAGTTGGCCCAAGACATATATATCGCGGCACCGGAGTGGAAATCATCACCTCAGCAGACTGAAAGCCAAAACCAAGGTTACAACATCTGTTATAGAACTCCAGTATGCAGATGACAACGTCGTCTGTGCGCATTCAGAAGATCTACAAGCCGCTCTACCCAGGATTTCCACCTATTTCCACTGGTGTGGAAATCATCTAACAACCAGATGGCAAGCTGTTTAATCTCAGCAGACTGAAAGCCAAAACCAAGGTCACTACATCTGTTATAGAACTCCGGTATGCCGATGACAATGTCGTCTGTGCGCATTCAGAAGATCTACAAGCCACTCTACCCAGGATTTCCACCTATTTCCACTGGTGTGGAAATCATCTAACAGCCAGTTGGCAAGCTGTTTAATTTCAGCAGACTGAAAGCCAAAACCAAGGTCACAACATCTGTTATAGAACTCCAGTATGCCGATGACGTCGTCTGTGCGCATTCAGAAGAAGATCTTGTGCGCCAGCTGCGCCCGTACCTTGGGAAGTCTGACTTGGCCACGGTAGTCCACGGGAATTGTGGGAGTTGTAGTCCAAAACACCTGGAGGGCCCAAGTTGGCCCAAGCCATATATATCGCGGCACCAGAGTGGAAATCATTACCTCAGCAGACTGAAAGCCAAAGCCAAGGTTACAACATCTGTTATAGAACTCCAGTATGCCGATGACAACGTCGTCTGTGCGCATTCAGAAGAAGATCTTGTGCGCCAGCTGCGCCCGTACCTTGGGAAGTCTGACTTGGCCACGGTAGTCCACGCTCTGGTTACATCCCGTTTAGACTACTGCAACGCTCTCTACGTGGGGTTGCCTTTGAAGACGGCTCGGAAGCTCCAACTAGTCCAACACTCGGCAGCCATGATTCTAACAGGAGCGGAGCGCAGGGAGCATACAACCCCCCTGTTGCGCCAACTCCACTGGCTACCGATTTGCTACCGGGCTCAATTCAAAGTGCTGGCGTTGGCCTTTAAAGCCCTAAACAGTTCCGGCCCAAGCTACCTATCCGACCGCATCTCTGCCTATGAACCCACCAGGACTTTGAGATCTTCCGGGGAGGCCTTGCTCTCGATCCCGCCTGCTTCCCAAGCACAGCTGGCGGGGACGAGAGATAGGGCCTTCTCGGTGGTGGCTCCTCGGCTGTGGAACGCCCTTCCCACGGACATTAGACTGGCACCATCTCTAATGGTATTCCGCAAAAAAGTGAAGACCTGGCTGTTTGAGCAGGCGTTCGAATAATTAGTGCAATGATTGGCAATTAACATAGGAATGGAACAATGGATGATGAATCTGGATTATGTTTTTGTTGATAACATTATTTTTGTTGCTACTTCCAGTGTGTTCTGTTGGTCATGGAAGTCCTGTATGCCATGTTTGGTTGAATTCCATCATTGGTGGAGTTCAGAATGCTCTTTGATTGTAGGTGAACTATAAATCCTAGCAACTACAACTCCCAAATGTCAAGGTCTATTTCCCTTAAACTCCATCTGTGTTCATATTTGGGCATATGGAATATTCGTGCCAAGTTTGGTCCAGATCCATCATTGTTTGAGTCCACAGTGCTCTCTGGATGTGGGTGAACTATAATTCCCAAACTCAAGGTCAATGTCCACCAAACCTTTCCAGTTTTTTCTGTTGGTCATGGGAGCCCTGTGTGCTAAGTTTGGCCCAATTCCATCATTGGTGGAGTTCAGAATGCTCTTTGGTTGTAGGTAAACTATAAATCCCAGCAACAACAATTCCCAAATGACAATTTTTTTTGAGTGGAGGACATAAATTGGACTGTTAGGTGTCTTGTGTCCAAATTTGGTGTCAATTCCCCCAGTGGTTTTTGAGTTCTGATGGTAGCACAAACTAACATTACATTTTTATTTATATAGATTGTCCTCCCAACCCTGCTTTACACTTGTGAGACGTGGACAATCTACAGACATCACATGCAACTCCTGGAACAATTCCATCAGCGCTGCCTCTGGAAAATCCTGCAAATCTCTTGGGAAGACAGGCGGAAAAACGTCAGCTTGCTGGAAGAAGCAAAGACCACCAGCATTGAAGCGATTGTCCTCAATCATCAACTCTGCTGGACTGGCCACATTGTCCGGATGCCCAACCATCCAGCCTCTATTTAAAAGCCTCCAAAGAGAGTTCCACTGCTGAACAGCTCTCACAGTCGGGAAATTCTTCCTAATGTTCAGGTGGAATCTCCTTTCTTGTAGTTTGAAGCCATTGTTCCATTGCGTGCTAGTCTCCAGGGCAGCAGAAAACAAGCTTGCTCCTTCCTCTCTATGACTTCCCTTCACCTCTTCATCCATGGCCCTCATCATGTCGCCTCTCAGCCTTCTCTTCTGCAAGCTAAACATGTCCAGCTCTTTAAGCCACTCCTCATAGGGCTTGTTCTCCAGACCTTTGATCATTTTAGTCACCTCCCCTTGGGCACATTCCAGCTTGTCAACATCTCCCTTCAATTGCGGTGCCCAGAATTGGACACAGTGTGATTCCAGGTAAAGTAGTCTGACCAAGGTAGAGCAGACAAGTAGCATGACTTCCTTGGATCTAGGCACTAGATTCCTATTTATGCAGGCCAAAATCCTAGTGGCAGATAGGTGCTCCAGTGGGTCACCACTTCTGCACAGAGAATCATGGGTTGCACTCTTTCTCCCCTCTTTGGAAAAACTTTGTATGTCCTGTAACCTTAAGAAAGTTCAGAGAATTCTTGGGCATCCATCTCGCCTATAACATTCTTTTTTTGAGTGGTTACCATCTGGCAGACAGTACAGGGCGACAAAAACAAGGACAGGCTGGGAAATAGCTTTTTTTTCCCTACAGCTGTGGCTATGTTGAACTGTGGTTTTGCATTGATGTGGCATTGGGATTGTGGAAGGATCATAGAATCATAGAGGTGGAAGAGACCTCATGAGCCATCCAGTCCAACCCCCTGCCAAGAAGCAGGAATATTGCATTCAAATCACCCCTGACAGATGGCCATCCAGCCTCTGTTTAAAAGCCTTCAAAGAAGGAGCCTCCATCACACTCCGGGGCAGAGAGTTCCACTGCTGAACGGCTCTCACAGTCAGGAAGTTCTTCCTCATGTTGAGATGGAATCTTCTTTCTTGTAGTTTGAAGCCATTGTTCCATGTCCTAGTCTCCAGGGCAGCAGAAAACAAGCTTGCTCCCTCCTCCATGGATGTGTTGTGCCATGGTGTGTGCTGGGTAAGGCATTTAACTTCATTGTGCAATATCACAATGACAATAAAGCTATTCTATTCTAATTGTGCTCTCATTAAGCGCCAAGTTAGAAGAATGGAAATAATCTCACAATATTGCGTTTCCATCTATCAAGGACAAAACCCTGGATACCTGCCATAGATGTGGGCGAAACATCAGAGAGAATGCTTCTGGGCCATACAGCCTGGAAAACTCACAGCAACTCAGATACTGCTGGACTTTTTCTGTCTTTGTAAAACCAATCCAAAGTTAGATAATATACAGATGTGTTAGAACTGTGATAGTGCAATTTATTAACGAATACACAGACGATGAAATCGTCAATGTATTATAGAAAATATCTGATTGACATAACATCACAATGAACACCATTTGGACTTGGAAAAGGTACCCTCCACAGTTTTATGCTTCAAATCTTGTGAAAACTGGCTGCAGGTTGAATAGAACTGCTAGATTTGGAGCCACCTGGTCTCCAATAATTCCCTATGGTATTAACTCTCTGCATTGGCAATCAATATCTATTGACACCACAAATTCAGGAATACAATTCCGACTCTCGTTGAGGTCAAGTTCGAAAGAGACAAGCACATCACTCCAGGGAATACACCATTAAGCATTTATTGGCATCACAAATTTGCATTATCGACGATATGCTGCAAAATTTGACCCATAAATGAAGCATCCGGATTAGTGTTGAAGGGAAGATGACTTGTTAAACATGTCACACCATGAAGACACCTCAACAATAGCGAAGGGGTAAAGCTAACCTTCAAAGAGGCACGAGGGAGTTTGAAATAATTTTGGTCCTGGAAGTCATAAGAACTTGGAAACAGGTTATAAAACTGCTGGTGGTTTCAGACAAATAGCTTTTATGACGAGGATTCAAAGGGCTGCATGCTTCCTGGGGATTTTGGGTGCCTTCCAATCACTAAAATGACACTTCAAGAGTGCTTTGATTGTGTATAGCAAAATGGGCAAAAGCTTTACCCAAAACCATCCCTAAGCCATGCACATTGCAACGCAGGATCCCTCTAGATCAGGTATGGGCAAACTTTGGTCCTCCAGGTGTTTTGGACTTCAACTCCCACAATTCCTAACAGCCTCAGACCCTTTCCTTTTTCCCCTCAGCCGCTTAAGAGCTGAGGGGAAAAAGGAAAGGGCCTGAGGCTGTTAGGAATTGTGGGAGTTGAAGTCCAAAACACCCGGAGGGCCAAAGTTTGCCCATGCCTGCTCTAGATCCCAGTCTGTATGATTTTTGCCAGCTTTCCCTTTCAAATCAGGACCTCTTGGTTGAAATCTACATGAGGTTTTTCTTTTGTGAAAATTTCTTTTCCATCTGAAAAAAAAAATGCCAATCTGACAAACTAAGACAATTGTCATACTTGCTGGTTTGTCTAGTGAAGCTGAAATCCAGATTCTAGTACAGTCCGTGCAATCCTGAGCATGTTTAGCCCTCGGTTTCAATGGGTTTTATTCCCAGTAAATGTGCATAGGAACACAGACTTAATTGTTTCACTACCTTAAGATACATATCTGAGACTACGAGAGTTATCCGGAAAGTAAGGTTACAAGATACAAGGAATTTTCCCAGGGGAAGTTGGTATCATTGTTGTGTATCCAACAGAAGCGAACAAGCAGTGCCAGTCATCAGTAGCTCATCAACTGGCATTGTGGTGAAGGTTAGAGAGGTGCATCCTCATTCTGTTTCCTCCAAGTAAGAAGTTTGTGCTATAATACGCTACCTAAATGCTAAGGGCATGAACGCTGCTGCGATTCATCGTGAAATCCTTTCCGTTTATGGAGAGGGCGTAATGTCAAGACAGCATGTGACAAAATGGGTACGGAATATATTGTGAGATCATGATGATACCTTGCAGAGCCATCCAAAACAAACATCGTGGAGTGCTAACGGCGAGAGTCTGACTCCTTCATGACAATGAGTGTCTGCATGTCACTCATGCAATGCAGGAGTTGTTGACTTCTTTTGGTTGGGATGTTTTAAGGCACCCCTCTCACAGTCCCTATTTTGCACCCAGTGAGTATAATCTGTTCACTAAATTGAAGGAACACCTGGGTGGAAAACACTTTTCCGATGACGACGAGGTGAAAATCGAAGTGACGAACTGTCTGAAAAATGTGGATGGAAACTTCCATGACACAGGCATCAAAAACTCACCCCACAGATGACAGAATGTATTGAATTGAATTGTGATTATGTGGAAAAATAATGTAATACCTATGCTACAACTCGTGTAAGTTTTATTAAAATATATTCATTCTTTGTGTTTCAAAAACTTGTAACCATACGTTCCGGACAACCCTCGTATTTCTCCCATACTAGGTCAACGTCCCTGCCAGTTGATGAGCTTCTGACGACTGGCACTGCTCGTTCGCTTTTGCGAGCTTCCCATACGTTCCGGACAACCCTCGTATTTCTCCCATACTAGGTCAACGTCAGCAAGAAAAAGCCTAAAACCTGTTTAATAGTGGTTACTTGCTTATCAGTAAACAATATGGCAATTGCAACAGAAAAGGAAGTGTATCCGTCATATTTTAAAAAGAAATAAGATGATGATATAAAACATTTTCATACTCAAAGCCTTCCCTTTTTGGAAGCATGTAAAAAGCAAAGTGTTTCCAGTCTGTGAGAATCATGGAAACATTTGGAATTGTAAATGTAATGTAAAGGCAGTTTTAAAATGTTTCTGAACCACAACAACAACAACAAAATCCTTAATGGACATAATGGACCAAGGAAGTGTTTTATCTATTGGTCTGGTAATACTAAAAAGTGAAGTTTGTTGGAAAGCCCCACAGATTTTAGTAGAAGTTTAAGTGTCCCCTGTTGAAATAACAGGACTTTGCTTCCTTCGTCAATTATGTCTCCCTTGAAATGGCATAAACACCTACAATTCCATCTGACATATTGAGGCTTTTGTTGTCAGTCTCCATTAAAGCCGATAAAATTAGGGATCTCCCCTCCAGTGCGCTCCTCTTTTCTCTGCGACAATCTTGACAAAGTCGGCATGGCTGGCATACAGTTTGAGCTTTTCACTGATGTCAACCCATTTTACTTTTCCAGCGTCGTCTCCTGCTTCAAGATGTAACTTATTCATTACCTCACCTGTTACGGGAAGAGAAAGCGTGAGAGGTGAAGGCATTGGTTTACTTTCCAGACCCTTTATTTCCACATACCATCTCAGCTTCTACTGCAATACAAAAAGCAATCAATACATTCCTTTTTTTATTTAACACTCTTCGTGGCAGACGTTCTCACACTGTACAGCAGGCATGTGCAAACTTCAGCCCTCCAGGTGTTTTGGACTCCAACTCCCACAATTCCACCAGCTGTTAGAAATTGTGGAAGTTGGAGTCCAAAACACCTGGAGAGCCAACATTTGCCCATAACTTGACTTACAGAGGGGTTGGACTAGATGGCCAACATGACCCCTTCCAACTCTATTATTCTGTGATTCTATGTCACACTCATTTTTAAGTCTCCTCCTGATGAGATTTGGCACTCAATGATATCCTGCACAAGTTTATAGTCCTCATCAAAGAAATAGACAGGCAGATGAGTTTGCTGGCAGGGAAAGTCCTTCTCATTACCCTTTTTGTCTGACTGTCTCTCTATTCTCTCCTTCCACTTCTGTTTGTTAGACTAATACTTCTCAGGGATATGCCTCTATTTATTCAATTTCCAGACCAGATGTCAAGCCCCCAAGTCCCTCGTTGTCTTTGTTGTAGTTCAGCCTTTGATTGTGCCTGCACCTGATCTCTCTGGGGATTCTGGGCATATTAGTCATTCTGATGACACTGGGGATTCTGGATCTGCAAGTCAATAGGAGTGCCAGCAAGAAATTTAAGTCCTGAAAGAAGGGCTCTGTGTCTGAAGGCCACATTCCTGAAAGGGAGTTCACAAGGGAAGTAAGGTCTGGAGCAGATCTGAGCTCAGAGGATGAAAATAAAAGTCCACGTGGACAGACTAATGAGCAGTTAGATAGGAGACTTACGTTCCATCAACATAGAGCTTCTCAAGAGTGTACAAAAGTCAAGACGCTTATTAGCCAAGAAGTTCTTATCAGTTTCCCAGGGAAGAAGGCACATTTTCACTCTATATTAGGTAGCCCACCAGATGGGTCCGTTAGTCCAGGCAACATTGATGCTGAGTATAGATCCGTGGTCAATTCAAGGGATTTCTAGTTCCATGTTTCCTTTTACTCATGTCTCATGATTCCAAGTTTTGAGGACTGTTCCTGAATTTCATGTTTTGGATTTATTCTACTTTTGTGTTCTTGGTTTTTGATGCTACTCTTGTACTTTGATTTCTGTGGATCATTCCTGATATTTGGACTTTGGTTTTTTATACTATTTTGCTAAATTGCTTTTTATATATATTCTTCAATAAACTGCTTTGCTATTTTACGTTTTACATGTGTGTTAAGCACAGAGGTGGTTCCCAACCTTGGAGTGCAACAGTATTTTTCTCCTGTGAGCATGGAGAGAGACAAGATGTCTCCAGATAGTTAGATAGCGAGGCCCTAACATTCCTATATACAAATGTAATTCCTTTAATAATAAAGTCTTTTGTAACTTGTTGACTCTGCTCCGGTAATTGCTGAAGCTCATTCATTCTATTGCTAACTCAAGAAGCTTCTGATTTGCTAAAACTAAAATGCTGTTGTTATTGCTGCTTTGTATTTTGAATGTTTTTTTCCATTTTAAAAATTGCCCAACACAAATAAACACAGCAGAGATGGATTGGTCCTTATGCCATTCCAAGAAAGGTCAGGCAGTCTCCCACCACAGACTATGAAGCTGTGACTATGATGGACCCACAGCTGAGTTTGCAGGAAAAGTTTACATTTCAACTTTAGTCAAGTTAAGTAATGCTGGCAACCAATATTTAAATGTTTCTTACATTTATTTCATTCTTCCATCACCTGCAAGCAAGAGAGTCAATGCTGGACACAAGTTAAAAAAGAAATCTGCTTCCACACTCACGGTTTTTTAACAACATGAGGAAAATTCATGTCTGAACTAGTGGGAATTAGAGGGAACAAGTGCCATTACATACCAGACTCATCATGGTAGTTGACTGCCTCTGTCTCCATCCAAGCGTTGTCTGTATTTCGTGGATCGTCCACATATCCCTTATATACCTATAAGCCAAAGATGAAATACCAATGTTCATTATTTATCTATGTCAAATAGAAAAATCTTAACTGAGTTATGTTTAAATTTTTAAAAAATGTTCACAGAGAAAGCATCACGCCAGCTATCATCTATGAAGAGACATTTCTACAAAGGAAGAATGCCATCAAAGATGGTGCTGGGAATCCACCATTTTCAGAGGTATATCTGTTTAGAACATATTAAAATATATTTCTATCAAACTGGAAAAAATATAAAATCTGTTGAGGGACCAACTATTAACAAAAATGTTTGTCAATTAAATATTACTATCCTATCTTACTCACTTAGACGATTCCTCATTGTCCAAGTATGATGGCCTTCCAAGTGTAGTGACTTCGTGGTGGATACGTAGGTGACTGTGGAGCCCTTTTATTGATCCGTATGTTCTTCCACAGTGAGGACATCCATTTCCAGGTGGAAGGTGGTTCTCGTCATGGTTGGCTTGAAGCACCTTCCTTGTTAAGATTGCTCAAGGGCCAGGGCTTCCCAGTTCTCAGTGTCTATGCCAAAGTTTTTAAGGCTAGCTTTCAGCTCACCTTTAAATCTCTTTTCCTGTCCACCAACATTCAGTTTTCCATTCTTGAGTTGGGAGTATAGTCACTGCTTTGGGAAATGAGGATCGGGCATTCAGACAATGTGGCCAGTCCAGCGGAGTTGATGGCTTAGGAGCATCGCTCCAATGCTGGTAGTCTTTGCTTCTTCCAGCACGCTGACATTTGTCTGCCTTTCTTCCCAAGAGATTTGCAGAATTTTCTGGAGGGAATGTTGATGGAATTGTTCCAGGATAGAATCATAGAATCAAAGAGTTGGAAGAGACCTCATGGGCCATCCAGTCCAACCCCCTGCCAAGAAGCAGGAATATTGCATTCAAATCACCCCTGACAGATGGCCATCCAGCCTCTGTTTAAAAGCTTCCAAAGAAGGAGCCTCCACCACACTCCGGGGCAGAGAGTTCCACTGCTGAACGGCTCTCACAGTCAGGAAGTTCTTCCTCATGTTCAGATGGAATCTCCTCTCTTGTAGTTTGAAGCCATTGTTTCGTGTCCTAGTCTCCAGGGAAGCAGAAAACAAGCTTGCTCCCTCCTCCCTGTGGCTTCCTCTCACATATTTATACATGGCTATCATATCTCCAAAAAGTTGAGTGTGATGTCTGTAGTCTATGTTTTGCAGACGTATAACAGGGTTGGGAGGACAATAGCTTTATAAACAAGCACCTCGGTCTCTCTACGGATGTCCTGACCCTCAAACACTTTCTGTTTCATTCTGAAAAATGCTGCACTCGCAGAGCTCAGGTGGTGTTGTATTTCAGTGTCAATGTTGACTTTTATGGAGAGATGGCTGCCAATGTAGCAGAAATGGTCAACATTTTCTAATGTTGCATCATTAAGCTGTATTTCTGGTATTCCAGAAGAACTGGCTGGTGACTGCTGGAAGAACAGTTTGCTTTTCTCAATGTTCACTGAAATGCCGAGCTTCTCGTATGCTTCTCGTATGCTTAGAGTGGCTTGTAGGACTTCTTTTGAGTGCACACAGATGACATTATCATCAGCATATTGGAGTTCTATAACATATGTTGTTGTGACTTTGGTTTTGGCTTTCAGTTTGCTGAGGTTAAATAGCTTGCCATTTGTCCGAGAAAAATTTTTCACTCTAGTGGGAAGCTTCCCATCAACAAGATGAAGTATCACTGAAGTACCCTATCTACCACCCAGTGCTCATAAGTAAGAAATTGATTATGATTCCCCATGTAGCTGAAGATAATTTCACTGATAACTCTATTCAATATTTAATTGGATCACCATGGTATGAGAAGAGGGGGAAAATGTCTCACCACAAAATTTTCCTGGTTGAAAAGCTTATTCAGCTGCTCCTCCATCTCCTCCTTCTCAGCCGGCGTCTTCTGCAAGGAGTTTAAAGCCTCCTCACTAAATTCTCGTTTCAGTGCAGCAGATAACTTCTCTCCTGGGTCGATCATTCCCTAAAAAACATTGTCACTTGTTATTAATCATTTCAAGAAATGTTTTTATCATCTGCATACAACCTTCCTATTGCACAGGCATGAGCAAACTTTGGCCCTCCAACTGTTTTGGACTTCAACTCCCACAATTCCTAATAGCCAGTAGGCTCTTAGGAATTGTGGGAGTTGGAGTCCAAAACACCTGGAGGGCCAAAGTTTGCCCATGCCTGCTACAGCAGCTTTTGCAGGAAGTGGAAATTAATTATTATCCCATCTTCTTGCAATATGAGCCCTCAAATGATCATAACCTGCATTCTGAATTGTGCCTGGAAACACCAGTTTGGAGAAGGAAGTTATTTGCTGTAATTATCACTGGAAGACTGAAGGGTGGGCTCACAACTTATTCTTCCCAATTTTTTGTCAGGAGCCACTTGAGAAACCGCAAGTCACTTCTGGTGTGAGAAAATTGGCCATCTGCAAATACATTGCCCAGGGGATGCCCATATGTTTTACCATCCTGTGAGAGGCTTCTCTCATGTCCCTGCATGGGAAGCTGGAGCTGACAGACAGGAGCTCACCCCACTCCCCAGATTCGAACTGCTGACCTTTTGGTCAGCAGTCCTGCTGCCACAAGGGTTTAACCCATTGTGCCACTGGGAGCTCCATTCTTTCCAATAAATGGTTTTCAAACTAATAATAATGATAATAATAATAAGCTTGAGCTTCGGTGATCCGGAAGCTCAAGTTGGTACAAAATGCAGCTGCTCGGCTTCTTGCAAGAATTCCGATGAGATGCCACATAACACCAATCTTACTACAGCTGCATTGGTTACCAATTGAGCACCGGATCACTTTCAAAGTGATGGTACTCGCCTTTAAGGCCTTGCATGGTCTGAGGCTGATGTACCTGAGGGACCGCCTCACCCCCTACCAACCCCAGAGATCCCTTCGTTCTGAGGACCAAGATTTGTTGGAAATTCCCAGTGTCAAGACCTTGCATCTAACAGCAACCAGACGCAGAGCCTTTACAGCAGTGGCACCATCACTCTGGAATACTCTGCCACCTGAAGTCCGTGCCTTGCGGGACTTATCAGCTTTCCGCAGGGCATTTAAGACATATCTGTCCAGACAAGCCCTAAAGTGTTCGGGACCTGCCGATCTTCATGATTGCATCTTCCCCTATGAACCAACATGAGCCCAAAGATCATCCGGGGAGGCCCTTCTCTCACTTTCACCTCTGTCTCAAGCGTGGTTGGTGGGGACCAGGGAGAGGGCCTTCTCGCCAGCTCTGGAACTCTCTTCCTAAGGAGATCAGACTGTCACCTAACCTGTCCTCCTTCCGCAAGAACCTAAAAGCAGAGATGTTCCATTGTGCCTTTGATTAGGCAGTTCCAAATAATTGGCCCTTTAATACCTAAGTTCCAGCACGTTAACAATGAGGCTACAAAGTGGAATCCACAACATGTGAGTGTGGAGAAGAGCAAACCACAGACCACCTGCTGCAATGCAACCTGAGCCCTGCCACGTGCACAATGGAGGACCTTCTTATAGTAACACCAGAGGCACTCCAGGCGGCCAGATACTGGTCAAAGGACATTTAATCAACTACCGAGCTTGCAAACTTTGTGTTTGGTTTGTTTGTTAAAAAATGAAATACAACTGTTTGGTTTGCTCCTGACACGATAAATAAAATAGCACTTTAGCATGGCCCTCAGCTCTACTATCCTGACATTATAATGCTCAAGGACATTACTTCCCCATCCCTGCCACTGAATTTTACACTTTCCCTTAGCTCTATCTAGAAATTTTGCACAAACTCAGAGCTCTCTGAACTCAACACTTTTATTGCTCCCATGGTACTGTTTGCATGATAATATGTTTTATTGTGATATGTTTCTATTTGGTTCTGTTTTGTTTTTATTTTATTGCATTACGTTTTATGTCTGTGCCCTCTGCGCTTGTCCCTTTATAAGACACCCCAAGTCCCTTCGGGAAGAGGGAGGCGGGGTATAAAAATAAAGTTATTATTATTATTATTATTATCTGAAAAACAACAAGATGAGTCCACAGCAGACAGTCTGCTGGCTGTTGTATTGGATCACACATTGGACACTTCCCAAGCGTCTAGGACTGTGTGATGTATCTGTGAATAATACATGCAGTCAAATAGTAATAATAATAACAATAATAATAATAATATAATATAATAAGAATATTATTACTAAATTATTATTATTATTATTAGATGATGATGATTATTATTATTTAAAGCCATTGTCAGTGCTCTTCTTCTTACCCCTGGGATGGCCCATTCACCACAGTCCTTCCTTTTGATTGCAATGAACTGCAAGATGTTTTTGCCAGATCCTGAGTGAGCCAATTTATTACCACTGCCATCACTCTTCCACCTGCAAAAAATGATTGGGGGAAGGGGAGATCAAAACTCGTTAATTAGTTTCGCTCCAAACACTCAGAAAAATGAGATCCCGAGGAAGACATCTTAAAAATATGTTTCTTCATGGGACGGCTGATCTAGGCTCAAATCCACTTGTAATGGCAACCTATGTTATCAGAGAGATCTTTGCATGAATCACTCTTGTTGCCCCCATCCATTCTTGTTGTAAAAACAAGCCATCTTTGGCTGTTCCAGTTGGTTATTAAGTGCCAATATATGATTTTAAAGATTTGATGGGAATATTAGGTATCGATGACACCTTCTCCATGATATCCTTACTTGTGGTTTCAAAGAGTCTATATCAGTGGTTCTCAACCTGGGGTCCCCAGATGTTTTTGGCCTTTAACTCCCAGAAATCCTAACAGCTGGTAAACTGGCTGGGATTTCTGGGAGTTGTAGGCCAAAAACATCTGGGGACCCCAGGTTGAGAACCATTGGTCTATATGGACCTTTCTCCAGAATGTAAAAGGCTGCAATGCCACTCCTGAACTCTGTTAGTAAGAGCACTCAGCTAAAATATGCTGGCACGTTTGACCTCAGGTATTTGCCCTTGACCCCTTGAATGTGAGCCCCAAAGAATGTTTCTGAAATTGAACTGAACCTGACTCTCAGGTTGGAAGAGAGATGGGAGTCAGGGCCGTAGCCAGAAAAATTTTTTGGGGAGGGTTGAAATTTTTTTTAGCAAATCATGAAGAGTAGTTCGATAACACAACAACAACATTTTTAATACAGTCCAAAGACCCTTATTGCTCCGTAAAAGGTATAAGATACAAGGCATGCAAGGTTAGTAAGGCCAAAAATAGCCAAAACTGATTAAAACACACGATGTGGGTGGAATTAACAGGAGATAAAACTGATAAAACAAGGATTAAAACTTGTAACCAGCATTTAAGATAGCAATGACCTAGGTAAAAGACTACAAAAGGTAACAGGCATGTTTCATCATGCCATAACATAAAATACTTTAAATTATATGATTTCAAGTATATTTTATATAGACTTCATTAAATCCAATTTCTATTTTAGTTAAAGTTTCAAGTCTTAAAATAACTGAAAATGATTGCTAATTGATAATTTATAGTTACAAAAGAATACCACGTTTGTTAGAAACACTTGAAAACTGTGTCAATACACTTTGACAGAAATCAGGTCTATTGATAAACTTCAGGTGTTTTTTAACCTGAAAAATGGGGGGTGGGGGGGGATGAACCTGATGGGATGAACCTGAGCTACAGGCCTGATGGGAGTTATACTGTATTTTTTAAAGTCATGTTAAAGGAGAACAACAAGAAGGAGACTGGGTTATTGTAAAACAGAAACCATGTTGCCCTCCAAATGTTGCTGAACTGCAGCTCCCATCGCTTCTTCACCATTGCCTATGTGGAGTAGGGTTGCTGGGAATGGCTTCTGGAGAGCAACATGATCCCCACTCCTTTTAAAAATAGTCCACACACCAAACATTCACACAATAATTCACATTCCTGTCTTCCCTCTAGTCTGGCATCACTTACCTGGTTATAATAGGATCTGCAGCATGATTTGGTCCCCAGCGTCCCAAGAGACCTCGGCTCACGATTCCAGTCCTGCCCACAGGATTCCTGGAATGTAAACACAACACAGATGAATGCAAAGCTGGGATGCAAAAGACCCACACCAATATATTTCTATACGCTTCCCCAAAAATGTTAGGTTTGCCTTTCTTTAACAGCACCTGTTCAAATCTATACCAAAATGTTACCTGGCAAACTGTTCTTGGAATCTGGAAACCTTTCAAATGAAACCCAAAAGCTTCCAGTTTAAAGGCTCTACATTCTCTAGGGCAGTGTTTCTCAACTTTCCTAATGCCGCGACCCCGTATACAGTTCCTCATATTATGGTGACCCCCAACCATAACATTATATGCATTACTACTTCATAACTGTAATTTTGCTACTGTTATGAATCATCGTGTAAATATCTGATATGTGGGATATATTTTCATTCACTGGACCAGATTTGACACAAATACCCGATATGCCCAATTTTAATATTCCTTCTCTCTTTCTTTCCTCCTTCCCTTCCACTCTTTCTTTCTATCATTTCATCCTTTCTTCTTTCCTTCTTTTCTCCCTCCTTCCCCCTCTTCCATCCTTCTCTTCCTCCCTTTCATCCTTCCTTCCTTCCTTCTCTCTTTCCCTCCTCCTTCCCTTCTTTCCTTCCCTTCTTTCCTTCTATTGTTTCATCCTTTTTTACTTTTTCTTTCCTTCTTTCCTCCCTCCTTCCCCCTCTCTTTCTCTTTCCATCCTTCTCTTCCTCCCTTTCATCCTTCCATCTCTCTTTCTTCCCTCCTTCCCTTCCACTCTTTCCTTCGATTGTTTTATCCTTTTTTACTTTTTCTTTCCTTCTTTTCCTCTTTTCTCCCTCCTTCCCCCTCTCCCTCTTTCTCCTTCCATCCTTCTCTTCCTCCCTTTCATCCTTCCTTCTCTCTTTCCTTCCTCCTTCCCGTCTTTCCTTCTATCGTTTCATCCTTTTTTACTTTTTCTTTCCTTCCTTCCTCACTCCTTCCCCCTCTTTCTCTTTCCATCCTTCTCATCCTCCCTTTCATCCTTCCTTCCTTCTCTCTTTCCTTCCTCCTTCCCTTCTTTCCTTTCACTCTTTCCTTCTATCATTTCATCCTTTCTTCTTTTTTCTTTCCTTCTTTTCCTCTTTTCTCCCTCCTTCCCCTTCGCCTTTCTCTTTCCATCCTTCTCTTCCTCCCTTTCATCCTTCCTTCCTTTCTTTCCTTCCACTCTTTCCTTCTATGGTTTCATCCTTTCTTCCTCCCCCCCCCTTCTTTCCCTCTTTTCTCCCCCTCTCCCTCTTTCCATCCTTCTGTTCCTCCCTTTCATCCTTCCTTCTCTCTTTCCTTCCTCCTTCCCTTCTTTCCATCACCAGGCAGCCAGTCCTCCTTGCAGGGAGTACTAGCATGTGGCCCCCAAGTTAGAAAGTTTGTCCATGCCCGATGATAGTGTTGCTTCTCATTTTGCTCCTTCAACTGTGACAGAGAAATCAAACCATCTGTATGCACTACAACCAGCATTAGAAAATTGCCTTCATGTGTGCACGCACATACATTGCATGCAAGTGACACACTCACATACCTGGGCCTTCCATTTTCCATGACATATAAACCATTCAGGCTCCTCCTGTCCACTTTCCCATCCATTTCATTGAACTTTGGGGAGAAATCTTTAGCCCTTTACAAGAAAAAGATGAAATCAAAATTTACTGAAATAGATTATGAAAACATCTCATACCATTTCATACCGATTGGATAGACACAGCTGAGGAAGCTACAGTCCTGAATTTGCAAGACCTGAACCTTTAATAGCAGGGGCTCTTGGAGGCCTGTCATTCACAAAGCCACTATAAGCCAAAGTTGACTTGATGGCAATGAATAACAACAACAACAATGATGGCCATGTAAATAATTTATTGGCAATTAGAAGAGTATCACTCTCCAGAAGAACAAGAAAACTGGAACCTTTTCCCCAATTTTTCATACAAAAATGTCGAGGAACAGAATATCTTTAGTCACTTGTGCTTTGTCAAAGTGCCTGTATGTTAAAAATCAGGCATGTCTGATTGTCTTTAACTTCAGAGTGAGGCAGAGAATAAGCATGGGTTGTATATTCTGGTATTTTTGGTGCCTGATTCATCTGTGCAGAAAGAGGTACAAGTGCGTTCTCTTGCTTCCAGCCTCAACACCTTGTAGTTTATTTATTTATCGTGTCATTCGCAACCAGAACATTGTATTACATTTCTAACAGAACAAAACAAACAGACAGATAAAAAAAACACACACAAATTTTGCAAACTTGGTAGTTGATTAAATGTCCTTTGACCAGTACTGGCCACTTGGAGTGCCTCTGGTGTTGCTGCAAAAAGGTCCTCCATGGTGCATGTGGCAGGGCTCAGGTTGTATTGCAGCAGGTGGTCAGTGGTTTGCTCTTCTCCACACTCGCATGTTGTGGATTCCACTTTGTAGCCCCATTTCTTAAGTTGGCTCTGCATCTCGTGGTGCCAGAGCACAGTCTGTTCAGCGCCTTCCAAGTCGCCCAGTTTTCTGTGTGCCCAGGGGGGAGTCTCTCATCTGGTATCACCCACGGATTGAGGTGCTGGGTTTGAGCCTGCCACTTTTGGACTCTCGCTTGCTGAGGTGTTCCAGCGAGTGTCTCTGTAGATCTAAGAAAACTATTTCTTGATTTAAGTCGTTGACGTTCTGGCTGATACCCAAACAGGGGATGAGCTGGAGATGTCTCTGCCTTGGTCCTTTCACTATTGGCTGCTACTTCCCGGCGGATGTCAGGTGGTGCAATACCGGCTAAGCAGTGTAATTTCTCCAGTGGTGTAGGGCGCAGACATCCCGTGATAATGTGGCATGTCTCATTAAGAGCCACATCCACTGTTTTAGTGTGGTGAGATGTGTTCCACACTGGGCATGCATACTCAGCAGCAGAGTAGCATAGCGCAAGGGCAGATGTCTTCACTGTGTCTGGTTGTGATCCCCAGGTTGTGCCAGTCAGCTTTCGTATGATATTGTTTCTAGCGCCCACTTTTTGCTTGATATTCAGGCAGTGCTTCTTGTAGGTCAGAGCACGGTCCAGAGTGACTCCCAGGTATTGGGTGCGCTGCAATGCTCCAGTGGGATTCCTTCCCAGGTCATCCTCAGAGCTCGGGATGCTTGTCTGTTCTTAAGGTGAAAGGCACATGTCTGTGTTTTAGATGGATTAGGGATCAGTTGGTTTTCCCTGTAATAGGCAGTAAGAGCACCTAGAGCTTCGGAGAGCTTCTGTTCAACCATCTCAAAGCTCCCTGCTTGAGCGGTAATGGCACGATCATCAGCATAGATGAAACTCTCTGTCCCTTCTGGCAGTGGCTGGTCATTTGTGTAGATGTTGAACATGGATGGAGCAAGCACGCTCCCCTGAGGCAGGCCGTTCTTCTGTTTCCGCCATCTGCTTCTCTGGCCCTGGAACTCAACAAAAAAGCTCCTGTTTTGTAGCAGGTTTCCTATGAGGCGGGTGAGGTGGTAGTCCTTTGTGATATTATACATTTTTCTCAGGAGGAGGCGGTGGTTCACAGTATCATATGCTGACAGGTCTATGAAGACAGCTCCTGTGATCTGCTGCTTTTCAAAGCCATCTTCTATGTGCTGAGTCAGGTTCAGCACTTGCGATGTGCAGCTTTTGCCTTTCCTGAAGCCAGCTTGCTGTGGGATCAGATAGGGGTCTAACCTTGTAGTTGAAAGCAGTGGCCTATGTTTCTCACTAGCCTATTGATTACTGAGCCTCCGCTGATCAGAGTAAGAGATGGAAGAGGAGCCTGCAATATTCATCTAGCCACAAAAAGAGTCTGAGATGAGCCATTTCTACCTGTGAAGCCTCTGCTTCATTTCAAACAGGTCAAGTCAGAGTCTGATTATTCGATGACTCAAAATAATGTGCAGCTATGACCAAACCAACCAGTTGGATTGATTCATCTTTGACTTCAGAACTGCAAAGTAAGGGTAATTATGCCATCCAAAAATGGAAGAATTAACTCCTGGAAGGCAGCCAGTTTACACTATTAAGCCAAACCTTGCCTGACATACGCAGCAAGGTAATTAGCAATTACATCATGGAGACTTGAAAGCCAGAGAGGAAAATATTTGATAAATTTAACTCCTTCCTTGCATCCTGCTGCTGTTGTGTCCTTTCATCCTGCTGCTGTTGTGTCCTCAAACTGACTTCAGTGTATGGCGACCCTATGAAAGAGAGCTGTGACTTCCTTGTAATATGACCTTCCTTCCTGCTTCCTCTGATCCTCTCCAGCATTATATTTATTCCAGTGCGAGTCAACCAAGAATACTCACCCAACCTCTGGATCTGCCCACTGGGGCCCTGCCAAGACGGAGGGAGCTGTATATTCCACAGGACAATAGTCTTTCCAGTCAACTGACCAGGACACTTTGTTGTTGGGCACTTCACAGCGCTCGACCTTCGACCCTGGATATGGAGAGGTCCTCGCTTTGATATGAACCTTTTCCTTCCAGTTTCTATAAGCAGACATTTTAATAGTGTAGCTGTGAAATCCGTGTCCCGAAGAGGGGCTGGAAGATAAAGGGAAGAGTTACACACAACACAAAGTAATCATTTGCTCACCTGGTGTGTATACACCAGGCTATAAATATGGTCTGCAATACAAGAAAACACCAAGGCCTAATACATAATAATTACAGTAGTGAATAACGAACACTAGACAACAAAGAAAATGCCTGGGTCTAATACAGGCCTGGGCAAACTTTGTCCCTCCAGGTGTTTTGGACTCCAACTCCCACAATTCCTAACAGCCTACCAAAACACCTGGAGGGCCAAAGTTTGCCCGTGTCTGGTCTAATATATAACTTCAACTATGATAAATATGGATAAAAAAAAGAGGAACTGTTTTGTAATTGCAGGAAGTTCATTTTCACCTTAAACTTTTCAATACCAACACAAGTATCTTGTAATCTTCCCAACCCAAAAACAATGCTTTAAAACAATGGTTCTCAACCTGTGGGTCCCCAGGTGTTTTGGCCTTCAACTCCCAGAAATCCTAACAGCTAGTAAACTGCTGGGATTTCTGGGAGTTGTAGGCCAAAACACCTGGGGACCCACAGGTTGAGAACCACTGACTTAAATAATAAATGTTGAATGTATTGTCGAAGGCTTTCATGGCTGGAATCACTGGGTTGTTGTAGGTTTTTTCGGGCTATATGGCCATGTTCTAGAGGCATTCTCTCCTGACGTTTCACCTGCATCTATGGCAAGCATCCCCTCACAACCTCTGAGGATGCTTGCCATAGATGCAGGCAAAATGTCAGGAGAGAATGCCTCTAGAACAGTGGTTCTCAACCTGTGGGTCCCCAGATGTTTTGGCCTACAACTCCCAGAAATCCCAGCCAGTTTACCAGCTGTTAGGATTTCTGAGAGTTGAAGGCCAAAAACATCTGGGGATCCCAGGTTGAGAACCACTCCTCTAGAACATGGCCATATAGCCCGAAAAAACCTAAAACAACCCATTTATGCAATGCTTTTTGACATGAAATAATAATAATCCTTAAGAAGTAAATGTGATCTTTTCCTCCAGTATTATAGCTGAGGAGTTTAATGGTATTAGCACTATAAATGAGGGACATGAAAGAAGTCTCCCCGCAGGATTACAACAAATCCGGGCGTCCTCTGAGCAACGTCTTTATAGACGGCTGATTATCTCACTCCAGAAGTGATTTGCAGCAGTGGAACGTGCCTGCTCCACCAGTGTTCAACATTTACACAAATGACCAGCCACTGCCAGAAGAGACAGAGAATTTCATCTATGCCGACAATTGTGCTATCACCACTCAAGCAGGGAGCTTTGAGATGGTTGAACAGAAGCTCTCCGAAGCTTTAGGTGCTCTTAACTGCTGATTACAGGGGAAACCAGCTGATTCCTAATCCATCCAAAACACAGACTTGTGCTTTCTATCTTAAGAGCAGAAAAGCATTTCAAGTTCTGAGGATTACCTGGGATGGAATCCCACCAGAGCACTGCAACACACCCAAATACCTGGGAGTTACCCTGCACTGTTGCCTGACCTACAAGAAGCACTGCTTGAATATCAAGCAAAAGGTGGGTGCTAAAAACAATATCACACAAACGCTGACTGGCGCAACCTGGGGATCGCAACCAGATACAGTGAAGACATCTGCCCTGGTGCTTTGCTACTCTGCTGCTGCGTATGCATGCCCAGTGTGGAACACATCTCATCATGCTAAAACAGTGGATATGGCTCTTAATGAGACATGCCGCATTATCATGCCGTGTCTGCGCCCTACACCACTGGAGAAATTACACTTTTTAGCTAGTATTGCACCACCTGACATCCGCTGGGAAGTAGCAGCCAATAGTGAAAGGACCAAGGCAGTGACATTACACTGTTTAGCCAGTGTTTCACCACTTGACATCCGGCAGGAAGTAGCAGCTAATAATGAAAGGACCAAGGCAGTGACATCTCCGGCCCATCCTCTGTTCGGATATCAGCCAGCACGCCAATGCCTTACATCAAGAAATAGCTTTCTAAGATCTACAGAGATACTTACAGGGAGAGGTCAACCTTCCTGTTTAAGGAGCTCCATTGACTGCCATTCATTTTCCGGGCCCAATTCAAGGGGCAGGTGGTTACCAACAAAGCCCTAAACAGTTTGGGACCCGCCTACCTGCGTGACCGCATTTCTGTATACGAGCCCACACGATCTCTTCGTTCATCTGGAGAGGCCCTGCTCACGATCCCATCTGCATCGCATGCGCGATTGGTGGAACGAGGGACAGGGCCTTCTTGTTGGTGGCCCCACGACTCTGGAACTCCCTCCCCAAGGACATCAGGCAGGCCCCAACGTTGGCAGTCTTTAGAAGGAGCTTGAAAACATGGATGTTCCAGTGTGCCTTCCCAGAATAGGAATCCCAAGCATTATGTCCCAAATGCACTGTACGAGAGATTTAGAACTGTGTCTGCACACCCACCTATCCCTAAAATATCTTTCCTATTTCCCTTGGGCATGCCCAGCATTTTAAATTTTAATCCTTACAGTTGGCCCTGCCACAGGTTTTTAAATGCGTTGTGTCATTATTGTATTGTTTTACTTTGTTATGAGTTATTTATAGTTGTATTGTTGTTGTTATGTTTTATGATGTATTTGGGCTCGGCCTCTTGTAAGCCGTACCAAGTCCTGCGGGAGATGGTAGCGGGGTATAAATAAAGGATTATTATTATTATTATTATTCGCAGAAACACCTCAGCAAGCAAGAGTCCAAAAGTGGCAGGCTAAAACCCAGAATCTCAATCAATGGCTGATACCAAATGAGAGACTCCCTCCTGAACACACAGAAAGCTGGGTGACTTGGATGGCGCTGAACAGACTGCGCTCTGGCACCACGAGATGCAGAGCCAACCTTAAGAAATAGGGCCACAAAGTGGAGTCCACATCATGCGAGTGTGGAGAAGAGCAAACCATTGACCACCTGCTGCAATGCAAGCTAAGCCTTGCCACATGCACAATGGAGGACCTTCTTATAGCAACACCAGAGGCACACCAAGTGGCCAGCTACTAGTCAAGGGACATTTAATATAATGCCAAGTTTTTAAACCTTGTGTTTTCTCAACTACATCACAACTGTACCCTTGGTTTGCTCCTGCTACAATAAATAAACAGCATTATAAACCCAAATGCGTATATTTCAAATGAATGTTTAGTTTATAAATATTCAGTCCAATGAGTTTAAACCCTGAACCACCTGTGTTGATGGTTCTGGAGATTCTGCAGTGATTCCCCACCTGTTCCAACACAAAATATCTGGCTATTTCAGCATCAAGGACTATAAATACACTTTCTCATCTATCTGTGCACAACAGAGTGGAAAAACCAGACAAGGAGATAAGAACCTGAAGCCAAGATTCTTGGCAGCTGGGAGCAGCGGATAGAGATGGCGGCAGGAAGGAGGAGGCTTAGCGGCAACAGCAGACAGAGTTACAGTGAGAGAAACGACAGCAACCGTCCGGACCAGGAATCCCTTTGCCATACCATGGGGCGCCTTCACAGAGAAATGGGTCTCTCCGGAGAGAAAGGTCCAGTACTTGTGGCACAACCAGGACACAGAGGAGACCAACTACGACTCATCTGAATGTGTTTCCTTATCTTCCTTCGTTCTCTACAAAACAAAGCGAAAGCCATTTCATAATGTGTACATCATGCTTCCAAGTGAAATCTGCGTATTCAGTTCCAGATCTTAAATAAGATGCTTATTTCCAATGTTTGGTCTCTTGCAAGTGAACATACACTATTTAATAATATGGTCTGCAGCCACCTAAGCTTATCAATACACACACACACACACACACTAGTCGTCCCCTGCCACGCGTTGCTGTGGCCAAGTCTGTGTATGTGTGTTTTGTGTTTGTATATATGCATATATGTGTGTGTATATATTTGTGTATATATGTGTGTTTGTGTGTCTATATGCTTTCATGCCTGTGTTGTAATGTAATTTTTGTTTTTTGGCTTTTAAAGTCCCTTCTGCTGTGTTTTCCAGTGTTTTTATGAGTGATGGTCACTTGTTGGACTGAGAGGTGTATTGTGTCCAAATTTGGTGTTAATTTGTCCAGTGGTTTTTTAGTTATGCTAATCCCACAAACGAACATTACATTTATATTTATATAGATTATTATTTATTGGATGTTGCTAGGTGAAGTGGCCTTCTGTGATGTTACTGGGGAAAGAAAAGGAGTGAAATCAGATTGTCAGCTGTTAGTTAATGTAGGATGAAGTGAGGGGAAAGAAAGAAAGAAAGAAAGAAAGAAAGAAAGAAAGAGAAAGGGAAAAGGCAGAGAGGAGAAAGAAAAGGAGGGATTGAAGGAAGAGAAAGGAAAAAAGGAAAAAGAATGAGGGAAGGGAAGAATAGGAAAGAAAGGAAGAGAAAGGAAGGTAAGATGGAACGGACAAAGGAAAGAAGAGAGAAAAAGGAAGAGGAATGAAAAGAAAGAAGAGGTGGGAGGTGTTAAAGGGAAAGCAAGGAAAGAAAGGAGAGGGAGAGGTGTACGAGGAAAATGGAGAAAGAAAACGCATTACCTGGCAATGGTGTGGGTATACATGATAGTGTCAAACACAACTTGTCCTACCTGGCTCTATTATTATTTTTGCTATGGCTGGATTATCACTTTCAGTTATCATTCAGCTTAAAGAGCAATGCCACAGCTTCTTTGCAAGTGGATCATGTAGTAGAAAGTTGATAACATAAGGTTTCATAGACTTGTCTACTAACTTTGTCAGATGCAGCAGACTCAAGTCTACCAAAGCTTATTTGGCATCTCTGATATAAGTATCAGAGATGCCACAAGATCCCTTTGCATACTGATGCAACATGGCTATGTTAATGGGCATTACTTCGTTAACAGGAATATTGGTGCCAGAGGCAAAAAGGATAGGTTCCTACACCACGGGAAAGAGGAGCAGTTCAACATATTTCAGCACATTTACCTGTGAAATGAAACTACAGGCATGAGGAAACTTGGGCCCTCCAGGTGTTTTGGACTTCAACTCCACAATTCCTAACAGCCTACTGTTTGTTTATACCTGTTCTAGCGAATACCTGAAAATCTTTAATTTCAGAAGCATTCAAAGACGTACTATGACTTTTTATTATTTCTATTTTGATAGTTAAGTCCAATAGAGCTACTTTTAGGTTGGTTTGTTTGTTTACCATGCTTGGAGTAACCTGTGAGTCCAGTTAATCTGCTTTCCTCTTTTCTTTCAGCAAGGGATCCTGTTTATTTTGCCTATTGGGTGCAGACACAGCCAGTTTCAGCAATGTGAGTCGGGGTACATTTACACTGCAGAATTAACACAGTTTGACACCACTTCAACTGATGTAGTCAAATCCTATAGAACCTTGGGAATTGTAGTTTTACAGACCCTCTCTGCCAAAACTTCCGGTGCCTCCTCAAACTACAAATCCCATGCTTACATAGCAGTTTTTTTTCGAGTCAGCAGTGACTTGAGAAACTGCAAGCCGCTTCTGGAGTGAGAGAATTGGCCGTCTGCAAGGACGCTGCCCAGGGGATGCTCAGATATTTTACCATCCTGTGGCAGGCTTCTCTCATATCCCCGCATGGGAAGCTGGAGCTGACAGATGGGAGCTCATCCAACTCCCCGGATTCAAAATTCCATGCTTACATAGCAGGGTGGGTGTGTGTGTGTGTGAGGAATGGGTTCTGGTGTGAGAGAATTGGCCATCTGCAAGGTCGTTCCTCAGGGGATGCCCAGATGTTTTACCATCCTGTGAGGCTTCTCTCATGTCCCCACATGGGAAGCTGGAGCTGACAGATGAGAGCTCACCCAACTCCACAGATTCAAAATCCCATGCTTAGATAGCAGGGTGTGTGTGTGTGTGGGGGGGGGGGGTGAGGAATGGCTTTAAAAACTGGCTTCTGGTGTGAGAAAATTGGCCATCTGTGGTTATATTATATATTTATAAATGCAATAAAAATTACATAGAATTAAAAGGTGATATATGTATATTATGATTTATAACCACATATACATATATATGGTTATATATCATATATAAGTAATACAAGTAATAATTATATATTATACAATATATAATAATTATATATTATACAATAGCATAATATGTGATTATATTATATAATTATAAATGCAATAACAATTACATAGAATTAAAAGGTGATATATGTATATTATGATATATAACCACATATACATATATATGGTTATATATCATATTTAAGTAATATAAGTAATAATTATATATTATACAATATATAATAATTATATATAATAATTATTATGATATATATAATATATATAATATATATTATATATATATATTATGATATAACCATATATACATATATTTGTGATATATATATATATTACATTATATTAATTATATTGATAATATATAATTACTAAGATCAAATATTCATGCAAATTATTAATACACAAGACAAAAGCCACACTTTAGCCATTTTATAATATAATATATGTATATAATGTCATGATTACAGTCAAACTAATATTATGAGTCCCAAACTATTAATTATTATTAGTCTGCAAATTGTTAATGCAGAAAAATGTTATACTTTCCCTATTTTATAATATTGTTACATTGATAGAAAAGCACAAAATAGATCAGAAAATAGGTTTCTTTTTTCCCTTTTAGTCTTTCCACTCTCACCTCCATGCAGTTTCCTTCCTTGTTTTCTGCACCCCAAAAAAGGACCTGCCCCTTTAAGAAATCTCTGCCCCGTGATTGGTCACTGCAGGAAAAGAACGCCCGCCCCACCCTTACCCATTGGCTATTTCCTCCCTATTTGCCTGACACTTCATACAATTGACATTGATACCGACGAATAGTGTTTGAGCTTTCCCTTCTTAAGTCCCGCCTCTTGAGAGTCATGTCAGAGACCAGGACGTCAATTTCAGCATAACCACGCCCATAGGCGGGCTCTAAACGATCAGCGAGCCAATCCTGTCCAAGTTCTCCCTAGTCAATGAGCTATAGACATAGAAACGTCAATTTCAACGTGACCACGCCCATAGGCGGGCTGTAAACGATCAGCGAGCCAATCCTGTCCAAGTTCTCCCTAGTCAATGAACTATAGACATAGAAACGTGTAGAGTCACATACCCGTGGCGCAGTGGTTTAACCCACAGGTCGTTTAACCCACAGGGGTTTAACCCACAGGTCGCAGGTTCGAATCCGGGGAGAGGTGGATGAGCACCCTTTATCAGCTCCAGCTCTCCATGTGGGGACATGAGAGAAGCCTCCCACAAAGATGGCAAAACATCAAAACATCTGAGCGTCCCCTGGGCAACGTCCTTGCAGACAGCCAATTCTCTCACACCAGAAGCGACTTGCAGTTTCTCAAGTCTCTCCTGACATGACAAAAAAAGTATTTAGGCTGATCTATACTGCATTTTTCTTTTCCAATTTTATTAACGAACTATTATATTATCTAAAGAGTTTTTAAATTATCAATTTTAAACCTTACTTGTGTTTATCTCCTTTTTGGGGGGAAAACTGAATACATTGAGGAAGATCATGGCTTATGCAAATTCATTCTAGGTGTCAATCTGCAGCTAATCCTTTCTATTTATACTGCCCTCTTGTGGTTGTAACAGAGCACTGTGTTTATACATTCCTACAGGCTAGGAGCTAATCCTTTCTATCTATCCATACACAGCCCTTTTGTGGTTGTATCTGAGCACTGCATCGATACATTCCTGTAGGCCAGAAGCTAATCCTTTCTATCTATCCATACACAGCCCTTTTGTGGTTGTATCTGAGCACTGCATCGATACATTCCTATAGGCCAGGAGCTAATCCTTTCTATCTATCCATACACAGCCCTTTTGTGCTTGTAACTGAGCACTGCATTAATACATTCCTATAGGCCAGGAGCTAATCCTTTCTATATATCCATACTTTGCCCTCTTGTTGTTGTATCCGAGCACTGTGTTCATACATTGCTATAGGACAGGAGTTGATCCTTTCTATCTATACACTGCCCTCTTGTTGTTGTATCCGAGCACTGTGTTTATACATTGCTATAGGCCAGGAACTGATCCTTTCTATCTCTCTATACACTGCCCTCTTGTGATTTAATCTGAGCACTGCATTCATACATTCCTGCAGGCCAGGAGCTAATCCTTTCTCTCTATCCATAGGCTGCCCTCGTGGTTGTATCAGAGCACTGTATTTATATATAGCTATAGGCCAGGAGCTGATCCTTTCTATCTATCTATACACTGCCCTCTTGTTGTTGTATCCGAGCACTGTGTTTATACATTGCTATAGGCCAGGAGCTGATCCTTTCTATCTCTCTATACACTGCCCTCTTGTGATTGAATCTGAGCACTGCATTCATACATTCCTGCAGGCCAGGAGCTAATCCTTTCTATCTATCCATACACTGCCCTTTTGTGGTTGTATTTGAACACTGCATTCATACATTCCTGTAGGTCAAAAGCTAATCCTTTCTATCTATACACTGCTTGTATCTGAGCACTGCATTCATACATTCCTACAAACCAGGAGCTAATCCTTTCTATCTATCCATACACTGCCCCTTGTGGTTGTACCTGAGCACTACATTCATACATTCCTACAGGCCAGGAGCGAATCCTTTCTATATATCTATACACTGCCCCCTTGTGATTGTACCTGAACACTGCATTCATACATTTCTACAGGCCAGGAGCTAATCCTTTCTATATATACATACATTGCCCTCTTGCTGTTGTATCTGAGCATTCATACATTTTAATAGGCCAGGAGCTAATCCTTTCTATATATCTATACACTGCCCTCTTGTGGTTGTAACTGAGCACTGCATTCATACATTCTTATAGGCCAGATGCTAATCCGTTCTATCTATCCATACACTGCCCCTTGTGGTTGTATCTGAGCACCGCATTCATACATTCATACAGGTCAGGAGCTAATCCTTTCTATCTATCCATACACTGCCCTCTTTGGTTGTATCTGAGCACTGCATCCATACATTCCTACAGGCCAGGAGCTAATCCTTTCTATCTATCCATTCACTGCCCTTTTGTGCTTGTAACTGAGCACTGCATTAATACATTCCTATAGGCCAGGAGCTAATCCTTTCTATATATCCATACACTGACCTCTTGTGGTTGTATCTGAGCACTGCATTCATACATTCCTATAGGCCAGGAGCTAATCCTTTCTATCTATCCATACATTGCCCTCTTGTGGTTGTATCTGAGCACTGTGTTTATACATTGCTATAAGAAAGGAGCTAATCCTTTCTATCTAGATATACACTGACCTCTTGTGGTTGTATCTGAGCACTGCATGCATACCTTGCTATAGGCCAGGAGCGGATCCTTTCTATCTATCTATACATTGCCCTCTTGTGGTAGTATCTGATCACTGCATTCATTCATTCTTACAGCCCAGGAGCTAATCCTTTCTACATCTATACACTTCCCTGTTGTGGTTATATCTGAGCACTACATTCATTCATTCGTATAGGCCAGGAGCTAATCCTTTCTATATATCTATACACTGCCCTCTTGTGGTTGTATCTGAGCACTGCATTCAGACATTCCTACAGGCCAGCAGCTAATCCTTTCTATTTATACTGCCCTCTTATGGTTGTATCTGGTCACTGCACAGATACATTCATAGAGGCCAGCAGTTAATCCTAACTCTAACTTTGTCCATGATTTGCTTAATCTAAACATCATAGAATCATAGAGCTGGAAGTGACCTCCAAGGGCCATCTAGCCCAACCCCAATTGACCATGCAAGAAAACACCATCTAAGCTCTCCTGACAGATGGCCATCCAGCCTCTGTTGAAAAACCTCCAAGGAAACTGACTCTACTCTGATATATTCTGGATCATTTTACGCTAATTCAGATGCACCTACCCAAATTCCTATATATGAGTAAATATTAATTATATATATATATATATATATATATATATATATATATAAGAAATGTGAAATCAGTGTGAAAAATCAACTATGTATTTATCACCCTTGTTATGAAATATTGAAATGAATAGCCAGTAACTATATACCTACTGTTATGTCGCCGCTGGGCCTGTATTTGGTTGGCTTTAAAAATAGGATGTGTAACCTTTGCCCAGCGGGAAGCCCAAGGAGAAGTTCTCAGAGGCTTCCTTTACAAGGAATTTTCAGATGGCTTGAGAAGTACAACAAAGTCTTTTATTAATGAAATCAAACAGGAACTACAAGGCTTTCTTGATAAAGTATTGGTTCTCTCAATCTTGTCCACAGGGGACAGGCACTATCTTCAATAACTTTTCTTTAAAGGAAAATTCCCCTTTTTAACTTCTCCCAGGCTGACTAAAATCCAACCCTCGCTGATGCGTGCTCCACTACCGGGCCGAACTGCTTCTCGGACGCCGAGTGGACCTACCAGCAAGGCAGTGGATGTTCTCCAGCTGGAGTTCTTTAGTCTTTAAGGCTGTTTTCCTGGAGTTCTTAAAGCTGTTCTCCCCTGGAGATTCTTAAAGGTTGAAGTCTTTGTACAAGGGAAGTTACACACATCCTATACATTGGCTAACCTAGCTTAGACTAACTAACAAAATGGCTCACTTACCTCCAAAGCCCAAAAAGGGGGCGGGACTAGGGAACCTAATACTAATTGACAGGTGACCTGCCCTGTAACTGCAAAGTAAGGAAAGCCATTTAACTGCAAAGGCATAGAACTTTAAAATACATGCAGCAATCAAGAAATAGCAAGATAAGCGGGAGCTCCTGGTGCGGCTGTCCCAGAACACCTACCTAGTACAAAATAGCTATGATAGAGACTGTCAATCAAATTATTGGCCTCATATGCTTTTACTTCAAAAATCCATTGTATTTTATTTTATTTTAGGATTTTTGTGCAATCCCTATGATGTTTTGTGTAACACTGTTTGGGAGCTGCTGGTGTAGATGCATTTCCTGTTGTTTCCTCCCTGGCCCTCAGTCCCTCAAAAGACTCAATGGACTCAATTTTCCAAAAAATACAAATTAATTTTGAACAACACAATGCCAAGAATAGGTTGCTTTGTATGTGAGAGAACTGGGGTTGTGGAAAGTGGAAAAAGGGAACCCCGTGGCTTTGGGTTTTAGGGAAGATCCGAAGAGACGAGTGACTCACATGGAGCGGGGTTTTACATATTGTCGCAATTGTGCTGCGCCTGCAAATCGTAGGCAAATGTGCTTTGTGTTTCTCATGCCGCACACATACACTTTGTCATCATGACAATACCAGAAGCTCAGCTGCTGGGGAAATTCTTCAAGTGTGGGAAAAGGAAATTGAATTTTTTTGTTTAAGCACATTTGATTGTGCCACTCTTGGGGTCAACAGTTCAAACTCACAGCTTGGACAGTACTGGGTTCCATCATCATCATCATCATCATCATCATCCCTTGTGTCCAAGTATGATTGTCCTCCAAGTGTAAGGTCATGGTGGTGGGTCCGTAGGTACTGACTGTGAGAGCCGTTCAGCAGTGGAACTCTCTGCCCCGGAGTGTGGTGGAGGCTCCTTCTTTGGAAGCTTTTAAACAGAGGCTGGATGGCCATCTGTCAGGGGTGATTTGAATGCAAAATACCTGCTTCTTGGCAGGGGGTTGGACTGGATGGCCCATGAGGTCTCTTCAGAGGCGGCCCTAGGTAATTTTCAATGGTAAGCAAACAGTATTTTGGCGCCCCCCCCCCCCCCCCCCAACCAATTACTGATATATATT